GCCTCTACTAAAAATACAAAAATTACCCGGGTGTGGTGGCACATGCCTGTAATCCCAGCTACTCGGGAGACTGAGGCGGGAGGATCACTTGAAGCTGGGAGGTAGAAGTTGCGGTGAGCCGAGATCACACCACTGCACTCCAGCCTGGGCAAGAGTGAGAGACTCCGTCTCAAAAAAAAAAAGTCTCCATTTGGAAGTCTAATAACTGACCTCTTGATGTCCAACCCTGCTTTGAACTTGCTCCTCTTGCAGCTTTCTCCATCTCAATTGATATAACTCCATCTTTCAGTTGCTCAAGCCAAAAACCCAGAGTCTTCTCTTTCTCCTACATACCACATCTAATCTGTCAGCAAAGCATGGCTGATTGTACCTTCAAAATATATCCAGAACCCAACCACTTTTTACTATTTCTTCCACTGCTACCACCCTGACCTAAGACACCATCATCTGGCACCTAGATTATCATAAACCAGTGGTTCTCAACTGAGGGCTATTTTATCCCCCAGGTGACATTTGACAATGTCCAATGCAGTCCTGCACACTGTCAGATGCCTAGCAGCATCCCTGCCTCTACCGACTAGATGCCAGTAGCAACCCCCCACCTCGTCATGACAAAAAATGTTGGCTAGGTGTGGTGCTCATGCCTGTAATCCGAGCACTCTGGGAGGCCAAGGCAGGAGGATCATGAGGTCAGGAGATTGAGACCATCCTGGCTAACACGGTGAACCCCTGTCTCTACTAAAAATAGAAAAAATTAGCCAGGTGTGGTGGCACGCGCCTGTAGTCCCAGCTACTCGGGAGGCTGAGGCAGGAGAATCGCCTGAACCCGGGAAGCGGAGGTTGCAGTGAGCCAAGATCGCACCACTGCACTCCAGGCTGGCGACAGAGTATGACTACATCTCAAAAAAAAAAAAAAAAGAAGTTGCAGGGCACGGTGGCTCATGCCTGTAATCCCAGCACTTTGGGAGGCCAAGGCAGGTGAATTGCTTGAGCCCAGGAGTTCCAGACCAGCCTGGGCAACATGGCAAAACCTGTCTCTATAAAAAATACAAAAAACTAGCCAGGCATAGCAGCAGGTGCCTGTAGTCCCAGCTACTCAGGAGGCTGAGGTGGGAGGATCACTTGAACCCAGGAAGTTAAGGCTCTAGTGAGCCATGATCACGCCACTGCACTCCAGCCTGGGAACAGAGAAAGAACCTGTCTCAAAACAAAACAAAACAAAACAAAAAAAACAAGAAGCAAACAAAAAATCAAAACAAAAGGCAGTGGTGCTATGGTTGTGAAAATCTGTTGGACCCGACAAATATTATCTCTTTGCTTAAAATCGTCCAGTGATTCCCCATCTCACTCAGAGTAAAAGTCCTCACAATGACCCCCACAAGGACTAACTGTGATCAGCAACCCCACTACCCATTACCTGACTTCTTTTCCCACAACTTTTCCCCTTGCT